CACTGGTAAACAAAATGTTTTGGACTTGAAGAAAGGATTGTGCTAAACACTAAGTATAGACATAAACCATGTGTAGTTCAGTCCGCAGTTTTCTTCTTTCAGTGAGTCGTTTTCACTTAATTTAGTCATTTCAAGTTATTTTCACTGCATGGGAAGAACAAACACTGAGGACCTGACAGGGCAGGATGCATTCCGATTTCATTTTACAAGGGCTTTTAAGGCCACCAATTAAGGGAAGAGAGACTGATGCTATTTTACCTACACTTCAGGTTCACTCCATTAGTGTTAGCCACAACAGAGCAGTCATTCAACCAAAACATATATAATAGCTATAGCTATGTCTCTTTCTTGCTTACGCTACCTTGATTTACCACGAGCGGGCGCCCTAGGCTAACCCATATTGACGTGCACCTCACATATCACTATTTTTAGATCTATTTTGATGAAATGAAAGCTTCTGTAAGTGAGCGAACTTCAAAAATAATGACTGTATTCAAATAGGTTTCTGAAGCACTTCCCCCGTCTTTCATTGTTCATCAAACACGTAGACCCAGAGTTTACCTGGACTTAGAGTCTGATCTGATTGCATCGACAAAGGATTCGGGAGCACAGAGACAGCCATAATCATCTAATAATCTGCAAAAGGTTCAATGACAGTGATATCTAAAATTAGTGATATGGATGTCATGACATAAATATCTGTGCGGTGAGATTTTAGAAATGTTTATATCTTTCAGTCGGGAAAAAAAGATTAGATTGCAGTCTAGCGTATTGTACTAGTGAAATATGCTGATACTGATGGTAAACATTCACAGTATGGGGCAACAGGCATCTTTCCCCGAACCAATGAATGCATAACCGTAACAGAGACCAAAGCTTCAGTCTGCAACACCAAGTGCAAGTCAAACAACTCACATCAAGCCTTAGAGCCCATATAATCAGAAATGTTAGATACACACCTACAGTACTATTAAAGAAAAAAACAAAAAACATTTTGAGCTTTGTGACACAAAGCTGTCACTGGGGCTGTAGCTTCTCAAAAGGTACATCTTTGTCCCTAAAGGTGCATATTGTTACCTTAAAGGAAATGTTGGTAAAAACACAGATGCTTTATTTTCTGTATTGTTTCAATATAATATTTTAGAAATATTTTTATTCTAAATTAATATTTTTCACTTTATTAATTTAATCACCTTTTCGCTGATACTCATACCATGGATTCATTTTTTATTTTTGTTGTTTCTTCATAGTAGGATTCGCGTTGAATTTCTCTCTGTGTGATGAGTACTTTTCATAAAAGAAAGAAAGAATTTGACTATTTTTATGGGATTATTCCTTTCAGTAGAAAGTAAAGCTCCTTCATTATCAGTATTTGGTGTAAATCTGTTTGGTCTGCACAGCTTGCTAATAGAGTTGCATTCGCAGTGTTGTGTTAACAGCATGTTATCATGGCTGTTTAGAGATAATGATTGTTTTTGGATTCAGCAGACCCCATAATCATGTTGATTTTTCATCCCCAAGGTCTCTCTTGATCCTCTCAAAACAGTTGAGGTTAATGTTAGACGTTTACAGTTTTTCTCAGTCGCTTTGGTGCATTTCTCAGATCAGAAATGAAATTCTCAAAACTACTTGTTCAACCTCCACATCATCTAGTCACTTGTGCACATCATAAAAGCAGTTTCTCATTTTTTTGAACAAGTTGCGATTGCTTTGGTACATTAATGCAATTGATCATGTACATTTGTCTGCGGTTTCCTACATTATCAGTTGCTGTTGTCATGTTGCTCAAAATGTATTATATAGCTCTGTGCAATCATCATGTAAGTCATTAAATGCAAAATGGTTGATCTAGTTGTCATAAACTAAGCATATTTTCTACACATTTCCATTAGTCTTTTTGTAAATTTGCCATGAATTGTGCAAGGGAATCTTTCGCTTTGGTGCATTTCTCAGATCAGAAATGAAATTCTCAAAACTACTTGTTCAACCTCCACATCATCTAGTCACTTGTGCACATCATAAAAGCAGTTTCTCATTTTTTTGAACAAGTTGCGATTGCTTTGGTACATTAATGCAATTGATCATGTACATTTGTCTGCGGTTTCCTACATTATCAGTTGCTGTTGTCATGTTGCTCAAAATTTATTATATAGTTCTCTGTGCAACAGTCGTATCCCCCAAAACATCTGGTCATTAGTTCATCGTGTAAGTCATTAAATGCAAAATGGTTGATCTAGTTGTCATAAACTGACAAGCATATTTTCTACACATTTCTATTAGTCTTTTTGTAAATTTGCCATGAATTGTGAAGGTAAATCTTGACTTCCACTAATGAAGAGAATGTGGATCAACCAATGATAAACTAGGCCTCTGAAATTCCATACAGTGCTGCATGCAAAAGCAAAGTTCTGCCTAAGGGGTGTTTCCTGTGTTTGCCTGTCTAAATTTGTATTTCTGCCTTTGTGCCCATATTTATTTTTATTTTCTATATCACAATGATGTTGTAATGTGTTTATTTTTTATTTTTTATTTTTTTTTCAGACCACTATAGTACAGTAATAAAAAATGTAGAGAACCATGACGCTGCTCTGCAAACCAGACTAGACAGAATTACTCTGGTAAATTAAAACCAGACTTATAACTTCTCTTCTCATTTTCCAGTCCACATGCAAACAGTCTGGTTAGTGGTTATGTCATGCTTTTCTGCATTGTTCTGTGTCTTTGATCACATAGAAGCAACTAAAAGAAAGGAAGGAAGCAAGTAAATGTACCTCCGAAGATAAAAATATCTTTGAATATGCTCTTTTGCAAAGGGATGGCACACTGAAAGAGATAGCTGCCAACCTAGAGACATTTATCCACACAAAAAGCCTTTAAGCTCTGCATGTTTAGTACTTTGAACTCATTTTGCATATAAGATCTCAGTAGAATAAAGGGCAAAGAACCGGAAATCTAAAAATAAGATCATTTTGGCCATTATCCTAGACATTCATCTCCTCTGATTGTTCAGATGTAAAGAGGACAGACTGAGTTTAAAACCACATCAGCGGTTTGGCAGTTTGAATGCTGGAGAAATGGTAAAACTGTAGGTGGTCTGGTTTTGTGACTAAATACTGTCTCTGTGGCAGTGAAGAGATAACCGGGGAAACACCATTGATGTGAAATCTGCTCTGACTGAGTGTTTGTTCTCTGTCCACAAGAGGTGATGATAAACCAGTGAAGGTGTGGGGTTACTCAAAGGCCAGCTAAAGACATATGGTAACAGGACACAGTGCCAACATCATGGAGGTGATGGAGCGATATTAAATAATCAGAGGTGATAACAACATCCACAAATTTTATTTATTTATTTAATTTTTTTTTCTTCAAATTTTGAAAACTTTTGTCTTTGTGGTCTATTCATTAGATCAGTTCAATGGCTGGTCACTAGAGCTACATGAGGAGCATTCAACCATACTTGACACCTCTGACATTTAAACAGCAGGGGGCTCCACATACACATACGTTACAGCAATCTCGATTAAGACACAGACAGACAGACAGACATACAGACAGACAGACAGACAGACAGACAGACAGACAGACAGACAGACAGACAGACAGACAGACAGACAGACAGACAGACAGACAGACAGACAGACAGACAGACAGACATAGATAGATAGATAGATAGATAGATAGATAGATAGATATTGACAGAGGACATATATACAGCTAGATAGATAGAAAGATAGATAGATAGACAGAAAGACAGACGACAGATATAGACAGACAGACAGACAGACAGACAGACAGACAGACAGATAGATAGATAGATAGATAGATATTGACAGACAACATATATACAGCTAGATAGATAGAAGATAGACAGAAAGACAGACGACAGATATAGACAGACAGACAGACAGACAGATAGATAGATAGATATTGACAGACAGACACGACATACATGTATATACAGCTAGATAGATAGAAAGATAGACAGAAAGACAGACGACAGATATAGATAGATAGACAGACAGACAGACAGAGACAGATAGATAGATAGATAGATAGATATTGACAGACAGACAGACGACATACATGTATATACAGCTAGATAGACAGACAGACAGACAGACAGACAGACAGACAGACAGATAGATAGATAGATAGATAGATAGAAAGATAGATAGACAGAAAGACAGACGACAGACAGACAGACAGACAGATAGATAGATAGATATTGACAGACAGACAGACAGACGACATATATACAGCTAGATAGATAGAAAGATAGATAGACAGAAAGACAGACGACAGACAGACAGACAGACAGATAGAGACAGACAGACAGACAGATAGATAGATAGATAGATAGATAGATAGATAGATAGATAGATAGATAGATAGATAGATAGATAGATAGATAGATAGATAGATAGATAGATAGATAGATAGATAGATAGATAGATAGATAGATAGATAGATAGATAGATAGATAGATAGATAGATAGATAGATAGATAGATAGATAGATAGATAGATATTGACAGACGACATATATACAGCTAGATAGATAGAAAGATAGATAGACAGAAAGACAGACGACAGATATAGATAGACAGACAGCCTATAGATAGATAGATAGATATTTAAACATGGCTTTTAATAATAATAAAGCAATGCTATAGTTTTGACAAGTAATATGCATCATTTTATCGTATAAATAAAATAAAACTTTTTGGTTTGTCAAAAATGAGATTTCAGATATTCGACATTGATGAGTTAGTGGCGCAATATTACAATTTGCTTTAAAGCAAGACAATACTCTACTGATTGCGTCCCGGAAATTAACTGCTGACAGAGACACCGTAAACACAGAGTACACAAAGTACTTTAAAAATCCTTTAAAAAGCTGAAATTCCTTTAAAATAGTCGAGCCCCTCAAAGTCACTGTATCATTTGTACGCTGGCTTGCCGTACTGACAGCTCTGCCTGTCAATCATTCCATCGCTCGCATGAAGTTCCAGGAGCGCTCGCGCTGACCGCCGTTTAAGGAGAAATGTCAATCATTCAGTCGTTCGTTCCTAACCGCCTGCCGCTATGACGTCACACGAGTGCGTGCTGCTGACCGCGCTACCTGTCAATCATTCCTTCACGGCGAGCGTAAGATGCGTGAGAACCCGCTACTGTCCGTCCGCAATGCTGGATACCGACGCAGCATCAGGTGAGGATAATAACACTCTGTGGGCTTGAACGGTTTAGTAATCCAGAGGGAAATAAGCAAGAAATATGGATAAACGCGACAAGAAAGCGAAAAAGGACTCTACGAAACGCGCAGGGAAGCTGTTCCGGAGGAAATCGTTTAAACCCGTGGAAAGTTTGGTGAATAAGATCTTGAAAAGTTTGGGGAGCTTGGCTAGCGGCGGAGAAACAACCGAGCGGTCGGACGCTGAGGATGATGATGGTGGGTTTGGAAAAAGCGCACCTTGCGCTGGAAACCCGGGACATGTGAAACAAGAGGACAGCAGCCAGGTGAGGAAAAGTTCATCGCTTCTCCGCCGTTCCTCCGCGAAAGAGCGACTGTTCTCGCTGTACGGGGATAAAACGCCAGGCGTGCTGGGTCTGAAGAACCACGGCAACACCTGCTTCATGAACGCCGTCGTGCAGTGCTTGAGCAACACGGACCTGCTCGCTGAATACCTGTGTTTGGAGCGATATAAACTGGACCTGTGTCACAGGGCAATGAACGGATTTATAAAGAATGAGAACGGTCAGCAGGAGAAAGGAGAGGTTACGGAGCGGCTCGCGTCTTTGGTCCGAGGGCTCTGGACTTTTCAGTACACTCCTCAACTCTCGGCTGAGTTTAAGGTAAGTTAGACTCAAGTAAATTATAACTTTACTATTTTGTCACTGACGCTTTTATCCACCTCTGGCAGGTACATGATCATCTAGGCATGCCGTGAAGGTTCCTCAAATATAATATTTGAAGGAACGTCAATGTACATTTCAAGCTGCTCAAATGCTCTTAACGTTATTATGGGGTTGAGAGAGGAACCTATGAGTGTCTTACAGGATCTTGTGGGTTCCAAAAGGTTTTACAGCCTGATACATTAGAAGAACTTCTGAAGGTCTTCAAAGAGCATGCAAAATCCTTTATAATTATTATGCATGCATTTTTATGACAAAAGTACTGTATTTATTGAGAATATGTTCAAAAGTAACACCATGCCAGATAGACTATTAAAATGAAGTGTGATTAAAATGGTGAAAAACTTGGAGATGGTGACTTTACAGCACCTAAAACACACATATTCCCTTATATTTTGATTTATTTTAATTTAAAATCTTGATGTTGACAAAAAAAAAAACCTCATGGACATGTGTGGTGTCAGCTTTAAATATAACTTAAAATCAGCTCATGGAGCTTTCTCTGACCAGTTTGCTCAGTACGTGAGCAATGCTTTCCTACAGGATGATCTCTTCTGAGCCAAAAAAAAAAAAAAAGATCAGGATCTTTCCACAGATAACATTATCACCAGAGTAAACTTAAAAACTAGTGCACTCTCAGATAAGACGTCACCTCACTGGATACTGACCACAAAGACGAGTATGATCTGGAACGCAGGTCTTATGTAACACTTTGCTTTCTCAGAAATCTACTACTAGCATTATACATTTACTAGTGAAATGATGACTAAAGAGCTTGCTGCTACAGTCTTTAAAAGGCACAATATGTAATTTTCGCCGCTAGAGGGCGCATATTCAAAATAAACAAATAGACAAAGGCGTAGTTTGATGACGCTGAGTGTGGAATCATGGGAGTTGTCGTCTTTATCCCCCACAGCCGATGCAATCTGATGGGACTTGGGCAGAAATCATGTTCATGGATGAGCTAATGATTTGTTAACGTAGTAGTATGAAGCAGGGTGAGGCTGAAAGCCGTCGAAGGGAAACGAGGCCGCTGAACGAGCGTGACACACGGCTCGAAAGCAGCGGAGCTTTTATTATGCCACAGTCGACCGCTTCCGCTCCTTCCGGTCAAGCGTATGTGGGGGAAAAAAAAGCAGCGCTGTTTTATCATACTAGATACATTTGAAAGTTCTGTTATAATGCTACTCTGTGCGGTCGTCACCGGTCTATTAAAACGCACAACATATTAAAGCGTCTTTGGTGTTTCCATGTTTTCTACAAAACAAAACCGGAAATCAAGGGGTTATGACGTCATTGGCAGGCGACACAATGACACTATAGACACGGTCCGTGTCACTAGTTAAAATTGCTTATTTCTCTGGATTTAAACATTCTTCGAAACATTTGGGATAATGTAAGTACACAAGTCAGCAAAATATATAACCACTGTTCTAGTGGTTTTTGGATATTTTAATAAAAAAATCTTACATATTGTGCCTTTAAGACAGAGGGGGCAGATGGCAAAAAGCTAAAGGTTTACTATGGTAGTATGAATGTTTCACGATGACAGTTACATTGCCCACGAATTATTAGTTCGGCTTTTGTTGTCTACATAAAAGATATAGTCAATTATGCCAACAAATTAATTCAGCAACACTACTAAAAGATAACGGTTCTTTAATGGCATGTATGGTTCCAGTAAGAACCTTTAACATCCATGGAATCTTTCCATTCCACAATAGATTCTTTATAGTGGAAAAAGGTTCTTTAGATTATTAAAATGATCTTCACACTAAGGAATAAAATTCTGTTATGATATCATCCGCTTCTTCAAGCTCCACACAGGGTTAAGCCCTCAAGAGGATCTTGAGGAAGGAGTAGCTAAAGAAACTAGCAGGTGGTAGAAATCCAGAAAAGATTTCAGTGGAAAAGCATCATCGAGAAGAGGTGGGAGTGTAGCCATAAGGTAGACCTGATCCTCTGATGGGAAACAGAGGCCCAGTTCTATTCACCCCCTACTATCAAAAGTCTGAAATTATTGCCTTAAAGGCCCCCAGTCTGGGCTGACTATACGAATGGAGAATTACAAGATCACTCAAGGCAAAATATAAGGCTGTGCCCACTCAAAAACGACGCATTTATGGATAAATCTGAATGAAAGATCATTTATGTTGTATTGTGGGTCTCTTTAAACAACACAACACAACACGACATTAACATTAACAGTCAAATCTGATGGCTTGCATGTCATAAATTTACATGAGGCTGTCTGAGGCATGATTTGCTTTTTCCTGTTGACAGAGCCCAGAGTATCTTGTCTAGAGATTACATAAATAAACTCTCTGCTTCTCAAATGTCTGCGAGAGTTAATGAGTGCCTAACCGCTGATACGGGGAGCCATCTATAAACAATCAAGAGCTCTACCCTATCATTTAAGTCTCCCACTGCGCTTAACTTCATTTGCTTAATATCGGCTGGCTTTAGTAAAGTGCAGTCTATTTCTAATTAGACTTAAAAGGACCTGAATTACACAGTGAAAGCATTACAAGTAGGGACTGTTTCAATCATACGATTTCTAATGCAACGGAAGACCAAAATCTTGTGTAACTTGTGAGCTGGAACTTAAACCAATGAGTTGTGAAAGGGTAAAGGAGTTCGTTGGTAGAGATGGTATGCGGGTGATGGATGACAGGCTGGTATTTCACAGATCACAAGGTCATGTTGTGTATAGTTAGTTCCTGACTGATGTCTAGCTAGTCCAACTCAGAGGGGGATGTAGCAGAGTCTGAGGTTGATCTGAGTCTACATTAAGTCATCAAGTCTGCTGTGTCAGTATTGGGAATAAAAACACAATTTTACAAAATTTTAGTGCACGTCTTTTGGCTCTGACATCAGTGTACTCCTAAAAGTTGATGAAACTAGCAGATATATGCATATAAAATATATACATTCTTTCTCTTACAGGAAACCAAAAAGTGATGTGTCATCTTATCAGGAAGGGAATATAGAAATCTGTAATAAAATGCTGCCTGAGACTGAGATAAGAACATCCAAATTGTATGTACAACCTGCAAAGAAGTAGTCACAGAAAGTTGTCACGGAAAACCTGGAAGTATTTAAAAAAAATAAAAAATAAAAAAATAAAATAGTGAAATTAAGCTCATCAGTTAGAAATTACTTATTGTGCATGCAATGTCTTGAAAATTATTTTTCATCACTAACAACTTCCATGGAAATTCATGTTTTAATAGGAAATGGAAAGTAAATTGCGTTGCCAAATAATTTCATGAGGTCTAACACAATTAATTATTTTATCCTTATATTTGGGTTCACTGACGAGATGTTGAGCAAAAAAAGTCCTTTGAAAATCAAAGCTTTGATATTTTAATTGTTCAATTTTTTTATACTATTTTTTTAAATTGTAATTATTTAATGGATGATGGTTCTGGGCGCTTTTCCTTCTTATACCTACCTCCTGTCCTGAAATATAGAAAAAAAAAATCTGGGATAGCAAAAAAGACAAAATTCATGGCTAAAGGACCTGCTTCCATACTAATACTAGTTCATCCGTTTCTGCACAAAACTACCGTTTAAGTGCAAGTCAAACCTCTTCAGGCTGAGCACTCATTGATGAAAAGGAAGCCTTTCTTTTCATATAAAACTGACAGGAATCCTCTCTTTAATACCATCACAGATAAGTGGAGGCCTACATTTCTCAAAGCTTTCACACACACACCAAAGACATTTTACAGGACCAGAATTAAAATATTCTCCAGTGACTGTTGACTATATGTTATAAATAAACATTGGGCTACATTTCCATTCTCACAACACAAGTCTTGTGACTTTTGACCTCTTTGAGGAGTATATAGCAGTTTCTCTGTCACATGCTTTTAATTAGAAGGTGCTTTGAATAAATTGTTGTTCTTCTGAATAACTCCTTTGAGGGCGAGGCATTTAATGGAAGATACCATTCTGAAAACTTTCATTCTTTTGAAGGCTTTCTTTTGAAGATGGGTTTAAACTCTGTGACCATACGACCCACTTTCTCACTATAAGACTAATGTTAAGATCATTAAGCTATCTCAGTCTGTAGGCCTACGGCTTCATATTATTATCTGCAATTTGCTCCCAGCTGCTAGATTGAGTCCGTATGGTTAATGCCACTGTAATTAATCTTTGTCACTCAGCATTAAAGTTATGATTTTAAATACACCTGATATTCAAGACTACTTTAAATGATGTGGCCTTCAAGTCATGTTGAAATAAGTCTTTTGCTCAGCAAGGTAAAAATGCAACAAACAACAGTAATATTGTAAAATATTATTTCAAGTCAAAATAACTAATTTCTACTTTGATATATTGTAAAATGTAATTTATTCCTGTGCTGAATGTTCAGCATCATTACTCCAGTCTATTACTCCAGTCACATGATCCTTCAGAAATCATTCTAATATGCTGATTTGCTGCTCAAAAACATTTATAATTATTATCAATATTTAAAACAGTTTACTGCTTAATATTTTATGCATGTTATATTTTAAGGATTACTTGATAAGTATATAAGTTAAAAAGAACAGCATTTATTTGAAATAGACTTTTTATTGTACATTTGTCACTTTTGAATAAAAGTATTTAAAAAAGGGGGGGGGGGGGGGG